TGTGACACCCTATATATATATATATATATATATATATATATATATATATATATATATATATATATATATATATATATATACAGGGTGGGGAAAAAAGATCGATACTCCTGAATAATTCGGAAAATATAAGTTTTGTAGAAAAATGTTTCAAACAAAAGTTGTAAGCCTTAAAAGGATGCATTCAACGGTAATACATTTAACCTTGGGTGGCGCTACCAAGGTCAGGTCGAGGTCAACCTTGCTTTTTAAATAAAAACATATATTTTTTTATTACACAACTTTATTCCACTTAAAAAAACAAATAACTTTAGTTTGAACATTTTTTTTATACGACCTCTATTTTCTAAGATACTGAAATACAAAATTATTGGTTTCAATAATTTGTTACTCGAATTGTATCAACTTTACCGAAAACTATCAAAAGATAAAAATTGTTTATTTTTTTCTCACAGAGCTCTGAGAATTTTTTCACAATTTTTTAATTAACTTTTTAGTACAGCATTTTCTTGCATTTTCTTAGTATTAAGAAGTTTATAAAAAATCCTGAAAAATTCTCAGAGCTCTATAAAAGGAAAATAAGCAATTTTTATATCTTACTATTTTTTGATAAAGTTGATAGAATCCGAGTAAAAAATTAATGAATCCAATAATTTTGTAGATATTTCCGTAAATATTTTAGAAAATAGAAATCGTATGAAAAAGTTTTTCAAACAAAAGTTATTTGTTTCTTTACATAGGATAAAATTCCGTAATCAAAAATATATGTTTCTATTTAAAAAAGCAAACTTGAGCTGACCTTGACAGTACCGTCCAAAGTCAAATAAATATTACCATTAAATGCATATTTCTAAATCTTACAACTTTTGTCTAAAACACTTTTTTATAAAACTTATATTTTCCGAGTTATTCAGGGGTACCGATCTTTTTTCTCGCCCTGTGTACAGGGTATTTTACACTCTCCTCCGGGCATTTTGTGGGGACGTAGAATGGGTTGATGTGAACATAAAAGTCCTATACCGTTTTGTGAAATTCGCAATAATAGTCGAGATATTAATTAAAAAAGATTAAGGAAAAACGCACGCTGAATGGTAAAGGACGGACCGCTCGAGTCACAGCGCGGTCCAGTAATAAAGCGCGCGATGTCGCGCGTGGTGATTGGAAGACAATGCACCAGTGCCTACTCTTATCTCGGTGCGGTGAGGCAAGACGTAGGAGCGCAGCGGTATAAGTATTGGCAGTGGTGCATTGTCTTCCAATCACCGCACGCGACATCCGCACGCTATATTATTGGGCTGAGCTGTGACTCGAGCGGTATGTCCTCTAATATTCAGCGTTTTTCCTTAATTTTTTAAATTAATATCTCGACTATTATTGCGAATTTCGCAAAACGGTATAGGACTTTTATATTCACATCAACCCATTCTACGTCCTCACAAAATGCCCGGAGGAGAGTGTGAGACACCCTGTACAGAATGTCCGAAACTTTTCTTGATACAAATCGTAGGAAAGTAGAACGGATTAAACGGAACAGAAAAGTCAAATACCATTTGGCAAAATTTGCAATAATTTTCGAGGAATTAATTATTTTGTCTGAACAAATTAGCGCTTGGGTCGACGAGCGACCATGATACACGCGAATCGTGACTCGCTGCATCTCTCCGCCCATAGCTACGATGTGTCTCGTAGCCATAGTTACCATAGTTACGAGATACAGCGTAGCTATGGGCAGAGGGACGCAGCGAGCGGCGATTCACGTGTATCACGATCGCGCGCCGGCCCAAGCGCTAATTTGCTGAGACAAAATAATTAATTACTCGAAAACTATTGCGAATTTCGCAAAATAGTATTTGACTTTTCTGTTCCGTTTAATCCGTTCTACTTTCTAACGAATTGTGTCAAAAAAGATTTCAGACACCCTGTATATACAATCTAGTTGTAGATTTTATTGTATGGAAAAGCACTATGATTCAAACAAATTGACAATTTACCTGATCCTGTCTCGAAAGAAATTGCATTAAGAGGAAGACTAGCAAGTGCATTGTTTCTTTATCTGCTTCTTCAAGGTCCACGATTTTGTGAGTATATCCTGGTAATGTGCTAGCCTCATCGACCATATTCAATGAATGTATATGACCATCTGTAACATTTACTAATATTAACTTATATTTACAAATTGAAAAAATGTTTGCTAAAAAGAAAGAAAATATCTACAAAAATTAATAATAATCCAATATTAACTGTTTTCAAATTTCTCCAATATTTTACAATTGAAGGAATTAATAATAAATAAGCTATGCAAGCAAAGAGAGAAAGCATGCATATCATTGTATTTACCTCAAAATTTATTCGAAGTGATATACGGAAAAGAAGGACCCCTAAAGGGATGCTAGATACTGATATAATACACTTTCGTAGTTTGCATTCCTTTTATATCTGGTTGCATAGAATTTCAAATGCTTTTATAGAATAAAAGTACAAATATCAATGCATGAAAGGACACCAAATAAGTCAAGAAAATTTAAAATTGTAAATAAAAGTTTTTTTATTTTGACACAATATGTTTTCATGCATTGACATATATACTTTTATTCTGTAAAAGTATTTGAAATTTTATGTAACCAAATAAAGAAGCAGTATGAACTATAAAATTGCCTTATGTTGATATTCAGCATCTTCTTAACTTAAAGTTATATTTTATATAAAGTGGAATCCTTACAAAAAAGCATTGCTGATTAATTAACAAAGAAAATATTACAGTAATTAATTACTGTTCAATGGGATTCAGTGATTATTTGGTAAATTACTACCTAGACAATTACTAAATGGACGTCCATGGGACGTCTATTTTTGGACATCGAATGTCGATTTATAGAACAACATATCGAACAATATTCTTTTATATTTCTTAAAAAATTAAAAAAAAATTGAAACAATCTTATGTCAAGTTTAAACAGTTTAGAAAGCTCATTTGATTTCTTTCAAAAAGCTGTAGAATTCTTAATAAACAAAAAATATAAATTAACTACTTCCAACAATTTTTAAGAAATTAAGAATTAAACAACATATTACAACTGACATATTTAACGTCAAATAATTTATTTGTTGTTTCGGTTTGTCGAATTGCTTTTGACCACTATAAGTTCTATTAGAGCTCCTATAGTTCAATCTAAAAATATAGTATGCAAATTTCATAATTGCATATCTGCTGACAAATATTGTTAATAACGTACGAACGTATGTTACATACACGTATGTTACATACAGGTATCCCGCCACTACCACATTATTTCTTAAGGGCAAATTCTTGAAGTAATTTGAAGAAAAAAATCCTAGTGCAAAAATGTCGAGGCTATAATACTTTTTAAATTATAAACGATTTACACACAAGAATTTGTATAAGAAGTGAAATTAGTTGTAAATCTCTGAAAGAAATGTTAAATATGTGACAGCTTATTGATGCTCATAAATATATTGTGTGATATTTTATTCATAAGATTTTGACGAAATTGTTATTATTTGCGATATGTTTATTTAAATTATAGAAAAAGCAGATTATTATTACATATCTTGTTGTATGGAACTTCCGTATCAATATTTGGAAAAGGAGCGACATGTGCATGCACCTGTACCATTGTATGTTGTACTGTATCTGAACGCGCGTACTTTAGCCAGTATAATTCGTCAACTTTAATCGTTTATAATTTGAAAAATATTAGTCTTGACATTTTTGCATTAGGATTTTTTTATTCAAATTACTTCAGGAATCCACCCTTAAGAGACAATGCGGTAGTGACGGGACGCCCAGTATATGTTTATATGTTATTACAAATATTTACATTTTATCGTTATTACAAACGTAATATATATACGTCGATATATAACGGTTATTGATGAATATATTATATAAAATACTGTTATGCTCGCCCTGGGCTGAGTCTCTGGTATGAAGAAAGGTTTGAGCTATGAACGATGCCGCGAAGCGTTCTCCGGGCGACGGGATGTGTGTTCTGTTTTAATAACAGCGGCTGTCAAAGAGTTGACAGCGAGACGCAGTCGCGAGAGGTCGTGTTTCCGACGGTATCAATTCTGAAACTGTAAAGACGTGTTTTCGCTGTACATTAAAGCTTCTCGTTCTTTATAATTGTGTGTTACGTTCATTTCTGCTGTGCGCGATCGCGTGTGCAAGTGTGTGCATAACATTTTGGGGGCTCGTCCGGGATCGGACGGGCACAACGAGCCATTCCCGTCGTTTGAACGGACGAGCAAAATTGAGTGGACGAGTGCAACGAATTGCCCACGAATAATATCCACTGCAAGGATCCCTCACGCAAGGGAATGTGCACACGGTCGTCGGGGGATGCTGAACAGTCATCGGAAGATAACGAGCGGATGTCACGTGACGCCGGATGCTCAACAACGGGAGCTGGAGCCGCGGTTTCAGAGACGCTCCTCCGCGAAGCGATAGAGGAGCTCAGACAACTGCGGGAGGAACGAGCGCTGCAGCAGCAACAATAGAAGGAGCTCGAGTCAACACTGCGTCTTCGTGACGAGGAGCTCCAACGGTTACGGCAGCGAGAAATCCAGATAAGTCATTCCATAAATAGAGACGCGTCAAACACTATTAGAAACGCGAGCGGGTTTTCCGGTAATAGCCACGTGCGAGTTTCAGATGAATTTCGTGAAAGTGCACAAGTTCATTCAGACGCAATACGCAGCGATCTCGGTTATAAATTAAAACCTGATTTATATGATAGGGAAACATAGCTGCATGAATTCTTTTCACAATTCGATCCTATAGCAAGAGCGAATTGTTGGAATGATGCGACAAAAGCTGTGGCGTTAATTACTTGTCTGCGAAGAAAAGCACGGTCGGTTTTAGAATGTATCCGAGATGTTGAGAATCTTGAATACGCGGAGCTCAGGGCGAAGTTAGAGTTGCATTTTGGTGAAGAAAATCTATCTCAAAACTTTTACATGCAATTAACTAATCGACGACAGAAATTTGGGGAAAATTTGGGAACATTCGATTTGGAGATTGAGAGACTTTCTCGGTTAGCATATTCAGAGTGTCCTTTCGCGATGCGCGACAATATCGCATGTGCACAATACATTACTGCTCTTTCTGATGGTTTTATTAAAAGAACTCTCCAATTAGAGGGTGTTTCTTCGTTAAATTCTGCGGTGGAAAGGGCCAAAACTATTAAGGTTATACAGGGGGAGAGTTTTGATAGAAAAAAGATGAATTATGATTTCGGGAAACGAAAAATTGAGGGGAGAGAAGAGGTCTCTTAAAAAATAGATAAAGTAGAAAACGGAAAGGGAAAAGATTACAAAAAGGGAGTGTAATTTTTGAAAAAGGAAGAAAGTTTTCTCCGAAAGAGTGTTGGCAATGCGGAAAGTTGGGCATTTCCGTGCAGAGTGTGCAGCGAATAAGGAAAACTCGGGTTAGTTGAACTCGGCAGGATGTGTTCAACTCGCGAAGCGAATACCTCGAGTAGTTCTAAGATTTATAGAATAAATATAATTAAACAAGGTTCTAATGCTTTTAGTTATAAGGGAGAGTGCTTGATGGAGAGAGTTGTTCTTTTAAAATAGATACGGGCTCTGATGTTTCGATTTTGAGTAATAGATTAGTTCGGAAAGGAAAAAGAAAGTTTCCTAACGAAAGATGTTATTTGAAATATCCCACGGGAGAAAGAGTTCCTGTGGAATCTAAAGTTTTTGCGAGAATTCAATTGGGAAGATACTCGGTGGAAATTCTTTTACTCGTGCCGGAAATTAGTGATGATTGTTTGTTAGAGGTTGATTTCTTTAAAGCTGTTAACTTAGAGAACGTTTTCGATTCTGTTTTTGGGACAATAAAATTTGAAAACGAGACAAATCTAGAATGTTGTCGAATTAAAGAGATTTCTGAAGGAGTCGGTTTTGAGAAAATCTCAACTATTTTCGTGTTTCCGACAGTATCAGTTCTGAGACTGTAAAGACGTGTTTTCGCTGTATATTAAAGCTTCTCGTTCTTTATAATTGTGTGTTACGCTCATTTATCCCGTGCGCAATCGCGTGTGCAAGTGTGTGCATATCAATACCTCTAAAAATCTTAGAACGCTAAAATATTTAAAAAATAATAAACTTTTAGAAAAAATATTTCAGATAAAAGTTGTAGGGGTAAATTTTTAGAATAACGGACCCAGCAGCTATGACCTTGACCTTCATATATATGATTGAGGTCACCCTTCTGAGTAACCTTCAGAAGGTTTTAGCCGTCGCTCATTGTTTGTTAAAAAAAGGTATTAATGAAAGAAGTTCGAAAAATATATTACAATTTTTCGATACTGTGTACTGTTAACGAGCAATATCGAATAATAACTGCAATATCGAACGACTAGCGGAGGGCTGCGCCCTCCGCACCCCCCCTCAAAACTAACCCAATCTATCGTCACATTAACACAAAAATTGAACACTTTAATAAACAATGACCGTCGGTTAATGTGACGATAGATTGGGTTAGATTAGTTTTCAGGGACGGTGCGGGGGGCTGCGCCCTCCGCTAGTCGTTCGATATTTTTCTCGTGTTACAAATGTTAAAAATATTCTTAATTTAAATATCTTTTTTAGTAAGTACTGTAATATTAAATGACTAGCGGGGAGCTGCGTCCTCCGCACCACCCCTAAAAACTAACCTAACCCAACCTATCGTTACATTACTCGTCAGTCATTGTTTATTAAAGTGTCTAACTTTTTTTCGTGGTTTGTGGTGAGTGCATATGTATATATAATAGTACATACGCCCCCACCGCGAGCCCGCCCTGTCAAACGGGCGAGCGCACGGGCGGCCAAGTAATGTGTGTGTGTGTATATGCGTGTATGTGTAGCAGCATCTTCCTAGCTTAGAAATTCGATGTTTTTGTATTTATGATGTTCAAAAATTACATTTATTTTATACAAATTTTTTTGTTAATAACTTTTTAATAAACAACGAACGACGGCTAAAACCTTCTAAAGGTTATTCAGGGAGGTGACCTCTATCATATATATGAAGGTCAAGGTCATAGATGTTGGCTCCTTTATTCTAAAGATTTACTGTTGTTTAAAATGATTACTATTAACGGATGTTATCAAGTTGACCTTGCATAGTGT